AAGAAAATCAAAGTCGTATGGAAACAATTAGTCCAAGGGTCTAATGAAACTTGGGAACCTCATCTTACATGACACTGAGACCAGAACTAGACGGTTCCTGGATACCAGTACCATCCACTCAGAAAGGGATTAAAATTGGAGATCCTGGAGAGAGTGGGAGAAAAAATGTGGACAAATTCAAAACCTTAAAAAAGACCAAGATTCCTGGTGAAACCCCCTAGAATATGGTCCTGAGTCACCCTTCAGGCCTGGAATTGGACTCACTCCCATGGCTCAAGTCTCAGTCAAAAAATATAGGCCTATGAGCTGAACACCAGGGAGATGTATTCCTTAGAACAGTCAACCTTTGGAGATCAGAAGTGCAGCATTTGCACAGGGAAAAATCTAGGTAGGTAGGAATTCATAGGTAAGAAGGACACAGGGAAGGGGTAACCACAGAGAGGAGGTGGGGGAGAGCTGTTACACTCTGGAATTTTAATCAGTGTTATGAAACAAAATGTGTATGAATTGTTGAATGTAAAGTGAATCTGCTTTGTAAAATTGCACCGAAATTACAGTAATTTTTTAAAGGAAATAAAGGATATATGGTTTGAAAATGAAAGAGAGAGAGAGAGAGAGAAACTAACTTTCTGACAACTTGATCTCCTTCACTGTTAAATACGAATCTAATGGTTTAATACTTCTTTATATACTATCTTGAATTGTTTTCTATTATTCTTCTGTATTAGCTTTACCTCTTCAATTAGACTTTATAATTTTTGAAAACAACTCTGAGAACACAGTAGTTATTTTAATGGGTACTTGTTAATTGTCTTAAAGAAAAAGACAAACAGAAAAGGCTATCCTACTTTCTTAACTCCTGTGCTTTTGAAGCATCTTTGAGATGTGATCAAAGTCTCTAATAGTCTAGATTTTGAATGATTTATGATTCTTCTCCAGTGAAAACAAATTCCACAAAATTTGGTACAATAAACAGGCCTTTGGAAATAACAGCAGACATAGAAAGGAAGCGGTCACTTCAGTATTGGCTTTAGTCCTGCAGAGACTGAGAGAACAATAAAGCCATTCACCAAGTTTCAAGTATGAAATGTCAGGAAGTCCATCCAAAATGGGAATGATAAACCAAATCTTTTTCACTTTTTCATTGCCAGATTTTACTGCTTTAGTTGGCAAGGCCTTAGAAAGAGACTGGGAACCTATAAAATTTATTCCACTGGAATAAATAAAACAGATGCAAAATGTAGCATCTCCATCTTAAAAAAGGAACTGCATTAATAAAGTTTATGCAAATTGACCTAGAAACCAGTGATCTAAAGTAGTTTCCAACCAAATTGCTGTATTACAATTTTTGAATCACAGTACTCAAACATTCTAAAATATTCTTGTGTATTAGTTTATTTGCTACATATTGTCTGCCTTTTCCTTGTATAATATAAACTTCAAGACAGCAGAAACCTCATCTGCCTTATTGTATCCCTGTGTCCTCAGTGCTTAGAAAGTGCCTGGTACAAAATAGGTGCAACTAAACAGTGTTGAAAGAATAAATGATAAGAAGTAGATCTCTAGTGACTCAAAGAATTTGAAGGGATAAACATGTTTTTTGTTTTTTTTTTCACAAAGGCATTCATACTTTGCCTCTTAGAATTCTTACCAAGCATGGTGTGTGAGATGGGGAAGGTGATGGTAGGCTGCCCTGTCATCCTCCAACGGCTACAGAGGTAGGAGAGATCTGTTCTAAGCATTTCCACTATCATCTTGTTGTCCAGAGCCAAGTAGAACTGTTGCTGGTCTATGAACTGAGGAAAAGGAATATAACAACTCTGAAAAACCTACTCACAACTATCAAATTATATTTTAAAGTCCTCACAAATTCACAAGGTCATATATGATATCACAGAGGCAACAATACCCCCAAATTTAATGTCTAATACTTCCAATGTATCCTGTGGTCAACTGGTACATATACAGTCGGCCCTCTGATTCCATGAGTTTCAAATCTGTAGATTCAATCAACCAGGAAAGAAAATATTCGGAAAAAAAATTAAGTGTCAAAGCAATCCCTTAAAGGTTAAGATGGAGCATAAAGTGCTACTTACATACCATTTACATTGTATTCAATATTGTAAGTAATCTAGGAAGATTTAAAGTACATGGGAGGATGTGCATAGGTTATATGCAAATGCTATACCATTTTACATAAGGTGCTTGAGCATTTATGGGTATTGGTACCCATAGGGGTCCTGGAACCAATACTCTGTGGCTATCAAGGAACAATATATAATAACAATTTCTCACACTTTTACAGTTTGCTACACTTTACAAACTGTTTTCAAATACATAATTTCATTTAGTCCTATAACAACCCAATGAGGAAATTTCCTCCTTTAATAGACTAAAACTAAGGCTAAGAGAAGTTAAATGGATTAGCAAAGTCATATAGCTAGCAAATGTCAAAGTCAGGAATGGCATATGTGGTCCTTTGTCTACCTCAACTGCATGATTTCAGATATAAAATGACAAATGGGATGCTTAAGCTTTCTTTCCAGAAAATAATTTCTCTTCCTCATACATACATATAGTTAGGCTTGCTATTGTACTGTAGCTAATAAACATCAGGGAAACAATGTATATAATCACAGCTAAAGATTATTAAGATGGTACTCAAAGATTTCAATGCGTGTAAAAAGCACTCCTCACCCCAAAACAAAGACAACATAATTCAGTAGCTGGGAAAAAAAAAACAAAACAAAACTACTGTATTTTATTTATAAGAAAAAAATACAGTCTTATTTTTAATTTTTAAAAGTAAAGAATACTTTTGCAAGTATTCCAATGTTTGTAAAATCTCTATACACTGTTTCTGCAATATCTAGGACTACTCTGGGTAGTCACAATCACTTGGCACAGCTCAGCACTGCAAGTTCAAATAGACTCAACAAATATTTACTGAGCAACTTAATATGCAAAAGGCCTTGGGGATCTCTTTGATACCTGTTCCAACTCTAGTAAATGCTCTGTTTCTGCAATGTATCTCTTTTATTTCCACTCATCTCATGAGCTTGCCAGCATTTCCACCCACCTGTGGAGTGAACGTAAAGATAGTTTTCCGAATGTCATAGAGTTTTGAAGTTCCAAGGACTCCCATGTGTCTGTAAGGTCGTCCACTGAGTTTCATTCTACTGTTGCATCCTAAGACAGAATGGGGAAATAATCAAGGTAATTTTAATGCACAAATCCAATCATCAAACATCTTTCTGTATTAGTTTACACTCACTCACTGACAGAATAAACTGAATTCTATGTCTCAAAATTAGTGATCATGTCACTTGTAGGTCCACACTAAGCACTGAGAGCTTTACAAGAGAAAGACTAGGCAATTATCTCTATAATTAAATAATGTTTGAATGATACAGAACTATTAATTTTTTATGTGAATACATGTCTCTAATATGTAGTTGAGGTGACTTCTTTATAAGAGTATAACATTATTTAAGTGATGTCGTAGTGCCTAAGGCATTTGACTGCTAACCAGAAGGCTGGTGGTTCAAACCTACCAGCCACTCCTCAGAAGTGTGTGTGTATACACATACATATACATATATGCATACATGTTCTCCTCCTCTGTGCTTGCCATTTCATTCTTTTTTTTTTTTTGCCATTTCATTCTTAACGGTTTCTTTTGATGGACATAAGGTCTTAATTTTATCAATCATTATTTTCTTTAAGTTCAGTGCATTCTGTGCCCTGCTTAAGAAACCTTTGCCTGCTCCAAATCACTAAAAATATTATCCTATTCTATATTCTAAAAGCTTTACTATATTACTTTTCCCATTTTTCCCATTTGGGCCAACAATCTATCTTTCATATGGTATGAGGTAGGGGACAAGGTTGTTTTTTTTTTTTTCCCCCTACAGATAAAGAATGGATACAGTGTTATTTACTGAAAAGACAATCTATTTCCCATTGCACTGATATGATCAAACGCACTGCCATTGAGTGGATTCTGACTCATAGTGACTTTTTAGGACAGAGTAGAACTCCCCCATAGAGTTTCCAAAAGCAAACTGTCTTGTCTTTCTCTTGTGGAGTGGCTGGTGGGTTCAAATGATTGAACATTTGATTAGCAATAAAGTGCTTTAGCCACTGTGCCACTAGAGCTCCTTATTGCTGAGGCAGTACTCATAAATCAAGTGGACTCTATTCTATTTCACTGATCTAGTTGTCTATACTTGTGCCAATGCTATACTAATTAACCATTATAATAAGTCTTCAAAACAGGTTGTGTAAGTCCTCCAATTTTATTCTTGTTAAGATTGTATGGGTTATTTTTAGCTCTATGAATTTCCCTATACATTTGAAAATTACCATAAACACAAAAAAACTTCCAAACACACAAAAAAAATCTTGCTGGGATTTTGATCAAAGTTGTCGACATTAAAGAGAACTGACATCTTCACAATATTGATTAATGGAGGAATCAACAAAATTTTCTGTAAACAGCAGTCTATATTTTAGGCTTTGTGGGCCACATGCAGTCATTTTTACATATTCTTTGTTTTGTGGTGTTTTTACTACCCTTTAAAAACGTAAAACCATTTTTTTTCACTCCCCATTTACCATCCCCAACTCTAACCCAGTCTCCTCCTTCTATGCCCAGTAGTAGTAACCCTCCCCCTGAGTTATGCACTCCTGTGTGTCCTGCTTTTCCTCCTTGTGGATGTTGCCCCTCTGAGGTCCTGTGGTCGATTGCTCCAAGGGATGCATTTCCATAGCGTATGTGGTGCGTCACCCTAGGTTGAGTGGTCTGCATGTACATCTTGTTTACTATTGGGCTGAGAGCCAGCCCCTTGGAGTGAGTTTTATTCCAGGCACAGAATGTATTCCAGGGTCATAGTATTGGAGGTCTCACCAGACTCCATCTGTACAGAAATTCTGGTCATTATTGAGTTTTTGGATTTTGTTCCACGTTTTTCCTCCCACTCTATCCAGGATCTCCAGATTTGATCCTTTCCTGAGTGGTTGGCGTTAGTAGCTGGGTGCCATCTAGTTCTTCTGGTCTCAAGGCCCATCATGTCCTAGGGCTGATTGCTTCCATATGCCCTTGTTTTTTTTGCACTCTTCTTCACTTCTGATGATAGGAGACCATTAGCTGCATCTTAGATGGTGGCTTGAAAGCTTTTAAGACCCCAGCTGCTACTCACCAATGTAGGATGAGGAACAAGACTTTTATGTATTTTGTTGTGCCAATTGAGTCTGGTGTCCC